CGCCTCCTTCGCGGCCTCGACGCCCGCCTCCTCGCCGGCCCTGACGTCGGCCCCCTCGCCAGCTCCGACGCCGGCCCCGACGCTGGCCGCCTCGCCGGCCTCGACGCCGGCCGTCTCGCCGGTGGCTCCGGCGGCGTCGCTCGGCCCAGTCACCCACGCTCGCACCGCCGTTCATCGTCCGAGCCTCCGGTACTCGAGCGACGAGTACGTCCTCGCCGCCTCCGCCACGGAGCCGTCGCCCATTCCTGCGTCCGCTCGCGCCATCCTCCGTGATCCTCACAGGCTTGCGGCGATGCAGGAAGAGTTCGATGCTCTTCAACGGAACCGCACCTGGACCCTGGTTCCCCGGCCTCCTCGTGCCAACGTCATCAACGGCAAGTGGGTCTTTCGCCATAAGACCCGCTCATACGGTACACTCGAGCGCTACAAGGCTCGCTGGGTGGTCCGCGGTTTCCGCCAGCGTGCTGGAGTGGACTTCACTGAGACGTTTGCCCCGGTTGTCAAACCGGGCACGATCCGCACCGTCCTCCAGCTCACCGTCTCCCGCGGCTGTCCTGTTCACCAGATAGATGTCTCCAACGCCTTTCTCCACGGCCATCTTGAGGAGCAGGTGTATTGTGAGCAACCCACCGGCTTCGTCGACGCCTCACTTCCAGGCCATGTGTGTCTGCTGTCCCGCTCTCTTTACGGGCTCAAGCAGGCACTCCGAGCCTGGTACCAGTGGATCGCCGGGTTTCTTCAGACACTGGGCTTCAGTGTTACTCCCTCGGACGCCTCACTGTTCGTCTATCGCCACGGTGACACGACTGCATACTTGCTGCTTTACATCGACGACATCATCCTAACAGCCTCCTCCGCGGCCGTTCTTCAGCAGATTACTCTCCGGCTGCGTGACGAGTTTTCTATCAAGGACCTAGGTGCTCTACATTATTTCCTTGGCATTGAGGTCGTTCGGCGTTCGGACGGTTTCTTTCTTCATCAGCAGAAGTATGCACATGAGCTTCTTGAGCGTGCCGGCATGCTCAACTGTCATCCTGTTGCTACTCCTGTGGACACGAAGGCCAAGGTCTCTGCTCTTGAGGGTTCGCCTGCGTCGGATTGTCGGCGCTCTACAGTATTTGACTCTCACCAGACCGGATCTTCAGTATGTTGTACAGCAGGTGTGTCTCCACATGCACGCCCCTCGTGACTCTCATTGGACTCTCGTGAAGCGGATCCTTCGCTACATCCGCGGCACGATGTCCCTCGGGTTGACACTTACGGCGTCCACTTCTCTGGAGATGGTGGCCTGCTCCGATGCAGACTGGGCTGGCTACCCCAATACTCGTCGGTCCACCTCTGGCTACTGCGTCTACCTCGGTCCTTCACTCGTCTCGTGGCCGCCCAAGCGACAACCCACGGTTTCGCGCTCTAGCGCGGAGGCTGAGTACCGAGTTGTGGCCAACGCTGTCGCCGAGTGCACCTGGCTACGACAGTTACTTCAGGAGCTACATCACGACGTCTCCCAGGCTACGGTTGTCTACTGCGACAACGTCTCTGCGGTGTACCTCTCCGCCAACCCCGTTCATCATCGCCGGACTAAACACATCGAGCTAGACATTCACTTTGTGCGCGAGCAGGTGGCTCTTGGACGCATGCGGGGTCTCCATGTGCTGACCGCTCAGCAGTTTGCCGATGTGATGACGAAGGGATTGCCGACTTCTACCTTCAAGGAGTTCCGTTCCAGTCTCTGCATCACTGGCGCCGCTTCGACTGCGGGGGGTGTTGAGTACATTGTGTATGTGTATATTTGTGTGTAGGGCCCACCTCTTGTTTCCTTTGTATAGTTGAGGTTGTGGCCCACCTTTGTACTTATATATACGTGCCTGGTGCACCGATCAATACATCGAGATTGCACAGCCCATATCTTGTCCTTCTACAGAGTTGTTAGGAGACAGGGAGCAAATTATTATGTGTATTGACCGTGTGCATAATATGGTTGCAGATCGACTAGCCTTTTTGTCGAGAGCGGAGCATCGAACCGAGTTGTGGTTGCAGGTTGCCCCAAATGCTCTCATTAGCCTACTGGCTATAGATTGTAATCCTATTACTTGATATATAAAGCTCCCTTTTTCACCCAAAAGAAAAAGGAAAACACTTTTTTGCATGGTGGGTTCACGTCCTCGTGGTCTATCCTCGTGGTCGGCTACGGCGGCGGTTGGTTTTTTCGGCGTCGGCTCGTTTGTAGGCGGCTCGGTTCGACCTTCGATCGATCTCATCGGCTCCCGGCCGCTATCTTCGTTGAAGGATTGACCGTCCCCCAGCTGCGGTCCATCGCTCGTGTCGCGTCCGATGCGCAGGTTCGAGCTCGTCTCGTGCACAGTGCCGCAGGACTAAGCTCGTCTCGCGCACGGTGCAGCAGGACTGACCTCGTCTCACGCACGGTGTCGTGGGATCGAGGTCGCCTTGCGCCCGGTGCTGCAGGACGGGCCGATGGAGGTCAGGTGGCCGGCCTATGGGGTCTCGGCGCTGGGGGTCGGCCGGTGGTGCGAAAGGTGGGATCTTTCAGCTCGTCTCTTTGGTTGGGATAGCGGCAGGTCTCGGGTGAGGTGGTGTCAAGGTCTTGGATGCCGGAGCGGCGGCCCTGGTGGTGGTTGCGCGGTCTCTCGGGTGGAGGCCGTGGCTTGGTGCTGCCCAGTGGCCATGGCCGTGTGGGCGGCATGGTTGCCGGGGTGTGGCGTTCGGCGGCGGTGAGTTTTGGCCGGGGTGAAAACCTGTTCTATCTTCGGACGGACCGGCGGCGGCGAAGCTCGTTCCCTTCTTGAAGGCGTCGTCGCGGCTCTCATTGCCCGTCGTGTGGCTCCGGGGGAAAGTCTGATCCTCGGATTGGGCGGTGGCGGTGCTCTGGTGTCGTATCCTTCCTGAAGGCGTCGCTTTGAAGCCCACGGTTCGTCATATGCGGCTTCATCTCTCCGCGGTGGTAGTGCTAGGGGTGGTGTTGCCGCGCTCAGCGCCTATATATCATGCCTTGGGTGTGTGCGTGTGTTGTCATGGCGTGTGTTTGTACTGAATTGCTGTGATCGTGCTTTATATATAAAGCGGGGCGAGAGCCTTTTTCGGTAATAACCACAACCCCACACGATTGGTGGACTAGTCTAGATAGGTTATGATGCTCCCATAATATTTACCAAGTACAAGTACCGCAGGGTCGTGGACCCAAAGTTGAGACATGGTGATATCCTACAGTAAACACATCGAGGCGTTTCTTGTTGCTTGTTTGTCGTTCGCCTCTAGGGCATGTACCACAATACACTATTTTGTTGCTTAAAGCAAATAATACAATTGCATTATGCACTTTGTTGGTGCTTACATGCTTTCATCATCCAATCTCACCTACAGTAGATTAGATTATATAGGTGTAAAGCGTAGTCATATCCCTTTCTGAACCAACTTACAAATTTCTGAACGAGCATGTGCAACCATATTCGTAACACGGCCGCCTACTCAGATCAGATCATCAACACTTGACCCTGTCATGTGTTTGCGGCATGGTGCCTGCATTGTATAGTCCATGCACGTACGGTCACACGTTGTTATCGCTACTCTGCCTACCCCAAGGGTTAACACAGTTGACCTCGATATCTTCATCAAAATTAAGTATCAGCTGCACAGTCATTGTCTCCTTGACCTAATCGACCAAAGATACTCCTACTGTGATTAGGATCAGAGTGGCACATATCTAACCGAGCCAGTCAAACAAGAAGGCCTCGTAATAACTGACAGTGAAGAGGAATCAGAATCAGAATCACCGTGCCCATCAAGGCCAACAATAAAGGAAGTAGAGTACCTAGAACTCATCTAGATGAGATATAATTTGGTCTCATTCACTTTGAAAATAAGAACAGATAGAACCCACGTCAGCACACACGCATCTTATAGCATCACATCCGATGGGTATAAAAGGTGAATGAGACCAAATTATATCCCATCTGGATGAGTCTAGCAGCCGCTGCGGCCGCCCCCACTTGGATACCGATCATCTCATGCCCAACAACGCTCCAAGCCGCCGTGGTCCATGATCCCAGTGCCGATCGATCACTGCAGACTGTACTATACTGTGCAACCAATTCAGCAGCATAATTAAAGTCGGCTAAGTCTGCGGTTGCTGGCTTGCCCTTGCTGCGGCTACAAGAATGGCGGTAGATGGGTTAGCTAGCTGGGACACCTCTCACGCATCAGCCATTAAGCTCCCTAATTAATCCCGCCAGAAGCCAAGGACAATGCCACCCAAATCTGCCCATCAAACGGCCCAGATCCTGAGTTAAATGGTGGTACTACAAGAGCACAGGTGAGTGAGGAGACGCCGGCAGCAGACACCTGTACGTGGCAGCGCCATTATGCTGCGTATGGGACCTCAGATTCGGACAGGGCCACCCACAGTAATCGGACTCCATGGCCATGCTATGCTAGCCCCTGCTGTACGTGTCCAGGCAGATGATAAACACCAGAATATTCCAGTGGAGCAGTACAAAATGTAGCAATGGGCTAGCTATATGAGTAGCCATATGCTGCGATTTCAAACGGCGTTTTTGATGATGATGATGATGATGTTGTACTTGTATACATGGCTTCGGAGCAGTAGGAAAAAAAGATGGACCCCAATGGCTGACGAACGTTCAATGCAGGGGTGGTATTTACGAACGTTTTTGCTGGCATTTTCTACTTATATGCATGGTAACTTCTGAGAAGAAGAAAAATTTGAGGCAAAAACAGACGGAAACTGTCACCGTTTGATCTCGCGTCGCAACTAAAACTGTCAGCAAAAGTGCGTTCATTTGCCATCCACTTCCGAGGAAACGTCAACTACTCAACATTGCCCAAAAAGATTCATCAAAAAGGCATGAAAACTCTTAACATGAAATGCTTATTGCTAGCTACTCGTAGCACTAATGAACAAATAAACGGCACAGGACGAAATACATGCATGTGTGTGTATCTGTGTATAGATTCTACCATCGTTATCAGGTGTCGGTTTCTTGCCTCGTGCTGCGTGTGCTCGCCGGCGACGCCCACGGGAGGTCCTGATCCGTCGGGGACGACGAGCCGGCGCGGAGGCCCGGGAGCCGCCTGCCGCCGTGGCGCCACTGCCAGATCTTGGACACCGAGAAGCTGTCGCCGCGGCTGGCGGCGCAGACCTTCTTGCCCTGCTGGTCACTGATCGCCGTGGTCACGCCGGGGCGCATGGCCGCGCTGCCGTCGCCGGGACGCCAGTGCACGGACACCACCAGGTTGTCTTCAGCGAGCACGTACTGGTAGGAGGAGCCCATGGAGAAGCACCTCCTCGCGTCGAGGCGGCTGCTGGTGCCCGCCTCGACGTCGACGGCGGTGTTGTTGTTGCCCTGGACGTTCTTGAACCGGCCGAGCCTGACCGGAAGCACGACGCTGCTTGCAACGACGACCTCCTTTGACGCTGACGCATCCTCCTGCTCCTGCTTCTGCTGCTCGATGTCCGGCTCGCCGGAGGCGTCCGCGGCCGCCGCGACGGCGGAGGGCGCGCGAACCGAGAGCACGGTGCGGCAGAGCGGGCACGTGGAGCTGGAGCGGAGCCAGGTGTCGATGCAGGCGACGTGGAACGCGTGGCCGCAGAGCGGGAGCAGGCGGAGGCGGTCGTCGGGGCTAAACTCGCTGAGGCAGACGGCGCAGTCGAACTGGCGCTGCCCCTTGGCGCCGGAGCCGGAGCCGGAGAGCTCGACGTACGCGAACGACGGCAGCGCGTCGATGGCGGCCTGGTCGAGGCCGGGCCCGGCGCCGTCCTCGTGCAGGTGGAACAGCTGCTGCAGCTGCCGCTCCACGGCCTCCGCCCGGGCATTGGCGCGGTGGCTCTTGAGGAAGAGCCGGCGCAGGATGTGCATCAGCCCGCAGACGAGCAGCACCACGGCCAGCACGACCGTGATGAACAGCACGGCCGGCGTGATCCTGGCCGCCGTGGCCGAAGGCCCCGGCTCAGGCGTCGTGACGGCCGACGCGGGCGCGCCGACGAATCCATCATCGCCGGTCTTGATCTCCCGCCCGAGGAGCGACAAGCCTGCAACCCTCCTCACCGCCGCCATGCTCCTCCTCCCTCCGTCGCCAACGCAGCGCTCATCCACGACAAAACCCGAAAAGAAACGCCCAGCTATATATCCACTACTGGCGACCGATCCCAGATAGCTCTCTCTGCTCGCTAGCTTTGGTAGGCGGATGAATCAGTTGGAGTGGAACGATCGGGCACCGAACGGAAAGAAACAAAAGATCCCTCGGTGAAGTCAACCGGGAAGCTACGCACCAAACCTAAACCTTTTTCCGCGATGCAACGACGTACGTTGGGCAGGGCCGGGCAGAATATTGTATCCTCCTCCTCCTCCTCCTACTCACTTGACCATCTTCCTCCTGTGTCTTGTTGGGCTGTGTATTATTGGCGTACGTACCAATCTATTCGGCGCTGGTGTGGTGTATGGTATGGTATGGTTATGGATGGGTCGCCGTGCTAGCTAGCTGCGGTTAGCGGGGCGTTGTCTAGTAGTACGCCGCCCGCCCGGGTGGTTGGCGGGAGGAGAGGATACCTGGGCGGGCACCACGTGAAGCTTCCCCCTCCCAACGTTGGATCGATCAGCTCAGGCTCAGCTAGCTGGGTTCAGTCGGGTTGAGGCTCATCACTTGTGACATACGGAAAGTGCGGGGAATAAATAAGGAGAGGGAACAGCATGTCAGCGTTGGAGGTGGTTGAGCGAGCCGGGGTACTTCCATCCATGGACCCATCCTCGCTGAAATCTGGAGGCATGGCATAATTGCCACGACGGCGACGGCTGACACGGGCCCGGACCGGCCGAGGCAAGCGAGCTCGATCGTAGCCACCACGGAGGCGAGGGCCGTTTGATATGTCGACCCATCGGCACGGGTGGACCATCATCTACTACCTGTACATGGACCTGGACCGCGGCAGTGTTTTCTGCAGGATTACGGGGGTGCCAACCAACCAACTGCCAAGGAAAGACGTATGCTTCTCCCGTGGGAACTCCGGAGAGACTGTTCAAACTGAGCCTAACAGCGGCCGGGCATGGAGGTGGAGCCATGGCCCATGGACCACCCTCCACCCACACACGGGCACGGCCAACCATCTGGTGGTGTGGTGTCCCGTACGCCGGTTTGTGCAGTGGCGGGGCACGTACCGGCCGGGTACATGGACGCATGGCGTGTCGCTTCGCGTCCACCTCCGCGGGCGGTTGTGAGTCCGCTTCATGGTTCGCTCGTCAGTTCCGGCCGTCCTGCGGTGCCCGGTCGGCGTGCCGGACATGACATGGACAGCAAGCGTTGGCGCTCGCTCTGGTGGCACGGCGTGTGCTGCATGTGGCATGGCCTCAAGTCAACACCCGGCGAATTATACGAGGGTAACCATCTCCTGCCATGCTTGATTGCGGCGACGTGGAGGCAGAATGGAATGGATAGCTCGGGATTTGAATTAGTCAACCCCCGATTCTCGGTCCGGCATGTTACTACTACCTCTCTCTCAGTTTACAGGGCATGCGCGTATCCCTAGGTCGTCTATTTGACCAATCTAATACAAGTTATATATTACAAAAAATATACCAATATAAACTTCAGATGTTCTATTTACAAAAGATATAATTTTTGTGTTATATAGTTTATATTAGGGTGGTTAAATTAGCAACCTAGATATACGCATAGGACTTGTAAACTGAGACGGAGGGAGTAGGTTCTCTCTGCTTCTTCTTGTGTTTTAAATAGGTCGTCAGATTATCCTGTTGGTCGCCAGCTTAAGTGGGTCGGCAGATGGCGAGGGGGAAGATCGCACAAAGTGGAAAAAGAACTGCAATTTGCAATTATTTCTGAAGGGGTTGATGTCATACGGTTTTAAATCGAGCATGGACTTCTAACAAATTTCCCGATGACCTTTGGAAACTCTGGATAAAGCTATATGAGTCGCAACTTTACATCCCTCAACAAAAGAAGGAACCCAATTCTTGGGTAGGTTTCATAGCCCCAATTACTAGTAAATACTCCACTTGAAAGTAAAAACCAGATCACCCTCTCCTCCATCTCTTTGGTAGCGGACAGTGGCAGCGTGAGGCCGTGAGCCTTGTTTTCTTTGGTGACGGTAGCAAGCATTGCAGCTAGAGTGCTATAGTGCAATATGGCTGCCTGGGGCGTGATTGGTAGCGGATGCGGCTCATCAGTAGAGGTCATGGCAACGGCTTTTACGCTTATTGTAATGGGGAGTATCATATACTAGTATCATGCATATGATATTAATGTATGATTATTAGTGTATTATACTACTTTCGTAATGCATAGTATGATAAGTTAGTATCTTAGACTGCCTTATTAATTGACATGCATGACACAAAGTAGTATATCATTTAATATGATACGGTATCATGATATGATATCACATCCTTTCTTTCTTTATTTAATTGTGTGTCACATCATCCAAAAGGTCTAGTTGGCATGCATGATACCGCTTATGATACTACCATTACGACTAGTCTTAATGGTCCACAAGCAGATACAACAAATGGCAAATGGAAATAGAGATGGCATTTTCCATGTCTTCGTAGGCCAAACTCGATGCAAGAAAATTGTGGGTTTTATGTGATGTGCATGATATATATTGTTGGATTGTGATAACGTCCAAACGTTCTGTTTGTAGGGACAGATCCGAACGATCTTCCCACTCGATCGCTAATCTCACCAGACCACCAGCGCACGTTTTCTGTTTCCAGGCCACTAGCGTAAGTTTTCTGTTTTTTTTTCTCGTCTCCGCTCGATCGCTAATCCCTAGTAGTGATCGCTAAAACCACGAACGCATGTTTTTTTCCCTCGTCTACTTTCTGTTTTTTTTTCCTTGTCTACTTTCTTCTCCTTTGAAAGAAAATGCGTAGAAAGCACGATTTGAACCTAAGACCACCCTTTTCAAAGCTATCCCTGATAACCAATTGGGCTAACGAACCATCTATGCATATTCACCGATTGACATTTAATTTGTATACATTTAACTGAAGTAAGACTACTCATGCTAGATTTATCAGGTAATCCACACCAAAATTACCAGGCTACTCATGCTAAAAATATCAGGTTGTTAAAATTGTTAATGTTCAAGATACCATGATTTTTGAATGTAAATTATCGGGTTTGTTGGTCAAAAACTACCATTTTATTTACACATAAATTATAGATGTATATTTCAACACCCTTCTCCATCAGGTCAACGTTACCATAGTGTTTGTGCGTAACTTATCAGATCCCCGATGCATAAAATATCATGCACACATGAGTTATCGGGGTATTTTTCGACAACTTTTTTCTTGAGTCAAAAATAGTTATCATGTTTGTTCTAAGCAAGTTATCAACTCCGTTGTGCGTATATTATCATGCTAGTACACATGTTTACCAGGAGGGGGGGGGGTGTTTCAATAACTTTCTCCCCGAGGTCAAAAGATAGTTACCATGTCTGTACTAAGTAAGTTATCGGCTTTGTTGTGCGTATATTACCATGTTAGTACACATGTTTATCGAAGCTGTTTTTCAACAACTTTTTCCCTCATGTTAAAAAATAGTTATCATGTGTGTGCTAAGTAAGTTATCAGCTCCGTTGTGCATATGTTACCATGCTAGTACACATGTTTATCGGGAGAGGTGTTTTTCAACAACTTCTTCTCAAGCCAAAAAGTTATCATGTCTGGGCTAGGTAAGTTACCGGGGGTATGTTTTCAACAACCCCCGGATCAAAAGTTACCGTGGTGTTTGTACATAGGTTATCAGCTCCGTTGTGCATATGTTACCATGCTAGTACACATGTTTATCGGGAGAGGTGTTTTTCAACAACTTCTCAAGTCAAAAAGTTACCATGTCTGGGCTAGGTAAGTTATTGGGGGTATGTTTTCAACAACCCTCGGATCAAAAGTTACCGTGGTGTTTGTACATAGGTTATCAGCTCCGTTGTGCTTAAGTTATCATGCTAGTTACACAAAAAGTTATTGGTGATATGTTCTCAAAAAAATTCTTGGTGAAGTTACCGTTGAAGTCCAGCACCGAGCACTTGGTGAGGCCTGTTTGCTAGCCCCTCATGCCGGCGGTGGAGGGTTGCAGTAGCGGCTGCTGGGCCTGCTTGGAGGAGATGTCACTAGGCTTAGTGAGCGTTGTTGGCGAAGCGTCTGGGCGCTCGTACCCGCAGGAGGCGGCAACGCGATGCAATAGACGCGACGACGGCGCTTCGGGACTTGGGGAGGCCAGGTAGCGTGAATTTGACGGCGCGGTGGTGCAGGGCGTCGGGGAATAGCCGGACGCGGTAGGGGAGGCCGGAGACGGTGCTGTAGATCGGGCGGCAGCCATGTACCTGGGTCAGAGAAGGGGTGGGCGAGGGAAGAGAAGGGAAGGAGAAATGAGAAGGAAGTGGAGGGGAGGAGCATGGGCAGTGGGGAGATCGACCGGCATTGCTGCTGGTGCTGCTTGTAGGCGGTGGTGAGGCTCGTTGGAGCAGCCTAGGGCGGCGAATCTTGGCGCCGTCATCGCCCATGCCGCCGTTGATGCATGGACGTATATTTCGATGACTTTGTTCTAGGTAAAAAGTTACCATCCCTAGGCTAAGTAAGCTATCAGCTCTGTTAGGCGTATATTATCATGTTATTTGCATAGATGTCATCGGGGGTATGTTTTCCATAACTTTTTTTTCTAGATCAAAGTTATCGCAGTGATTTGTACCTTATCAGGTCTGTGATGCATATATTACCCTGGTATTTATACAGAAGTAGCCGAGATATGTTTTCAACAAAAAAATTCCCCTGGTCAAAGTTATCGTAGTGTTTGTACCTAAGTCAAATCCGGAAGCATATATATCATGCTACTTACATAGAAATTATTGGACTAATAGTATGATAATATGTTTACATGAGACAACGACCGAAGTTCGAATTCTATGCATCAATTCTTCGAAAAGAAACTTGGTCATATATATGTGCCCCTCGCTAAAAGCATCATTGTTTTTTCTTGCGGTGATGTAAAGTATAAAGGTCGACTAACCTGATTCAAAATGCACAATAAAAATCGTAGCCTA